AAAAAAGTCCAAAACAAATAATGTCCAAAAGAAATTTTTTTTTTTAATTCTTCACGGGGCGGGTTCGAGGCGGGGCATCTCCGCCCCGCCCCACGACGGGATGGGTTTTTTTGCCCCATTCGGGGTGGGGCCCCACGGGGACGGGGTAGGGAAAATTGCCATCTCTAATTTGTAGGAGGGAGGAAAGAGAAATGGAAGTGATGGTTGCGTGAATAGGAATAAAGTTGTGGACTTTGCTTAGACAGTGCATTTATGCAGAAGGATTAAAAAAAAAAGGAATTATACCAAAACGGCAGCGTTTTTAACAAAAAAATGTGTAAAACAATGTCGTTTTACGAAGTTCCCAAGATGGGGTCGTATTGGACGAAAACGTCAACAGTAAAGGACGGATTCACTCTTACTAGTTTGTAAGGATATACCTATGTTTTTTAATTTTTGCATATATTTATTGTTTATATTTTAAATTAATACATGCAATTTTTAGATGAATTAAATTTTATGCAATTTATAATACTTATGAGAATATTTTGTGCATAATTATTACATGTTAGTTAATATTGTGCTATTGGACTTATTCTCATATTGAGTGCATAACATAGTTAATGTCTAGTGATCTATATAGTTTTATTTAATTAGGGATTAGCCACANNNNTATTTAATTAGGGATTAGCCACATCATCATTAATTTTATAAAATTATATATTAAGTTTAGGATCACATAAAGAGTAAGGAAGTTAAATTATAATTAATTATAGTTAATATTCTAATTTTTTCCCACCTGAACTTTTATTATATTTATTTAATTAATTTGAATAAAATATTAAATTGCCTCATAATTTACCCACAAGAATTATGAAAAAGTACACAATTTAGATAGTTTTATCATAAAGCTTGCTTTATTGTAGAATATCAAATTATTTTCATAATGTACAAAATATGAATTAAGTGCATAATTTTATCCCAAAGAATAATTGAATATAATTGAATTATAAATTTAATTCACACCAAATTTTTATATCATTATATTCAATTTTAGCATGTTTTACATTGGTAAAACATGGAATATATTCAATTAAGCCTCAATTTTAATATAAGTATTTTTACTATTATGCAATTTCACAACCTGTTAATTTATCTGATATTTATGCGATATACCTGAATTAAAGGGTGACAACTATAAAGTATGTAAGAAGATAATTTTTCTCCACTTAAAGTGGATGGATATTGATTATGCTATTAGGAAAGATGAATCATTTGAAATCACAGATACTAGCACTGTAGCAAACATCACGCTTTATGAAAAATGGGAGCGATCTAATCACCTCAGTGTGATGTCCATAAAGACTAAATTTCTGCTTGTATATGTGGTTCCGTCGATCAGCATGACAATGTCCAAGACTTGATAAAAGCCATTAGTGATCAATTCGTCATTTTATATAAGGCATTGGCAAGCACTCTCATAACAGCTGTGTGCGAGCACATCATGCAGATAAAAGATGTACCCGAGCACATCATGCAGATGAGAGACATTACAGCTTAAATTAAAAAACTCGAGGTTGAGATGTCTGAATCCTTCATT